GCACCCAGACTCAAAAATAAAACATTTAGATTTTTGAGTGAGTGAAACATTAATACGGGATATTACACTGAGATTAACTGGTAAAAATACTCTATATATGAAGTTATTGATTTCTGTATCACGTATGTTTCCTAAAAATGGGGTGCACACAAAGACCAGGACACCTGGTAGCGTTGGAGTTTAGTGATCTGACAACACTTAACCTGTGCACTTTGCTGTGTAATGTCGCTGAGTATACTGCAGAACAGGTTAGATAAGGTTGTCAGGTGAGGCTTTTCTTGTTGACTAGAGAAAACCCGAAGTTGCCAAATCCTTCCTTGTCATCCCCTGCACAAGAACATTAATGCACATGTGCAGTAAAAGGAGAAATGGATTATTTGTAGTGTTTGCAAAAGATGTCTTATGTTGTTTGAGAAACGTTGGTTTCATACGGATTTAGCTGTTTAATTTTTAAAAGTAGGCTACTTAATAGCTAAAAAAAAAATCAGGAGCTAAGAAACACACGTAGTTTAACAGCATTTACATTATTCGACAGTGTAAAGTGTTGTTTTGTTGTGAGGCCAGTTTAAGTTGTTAGTAGTGTTGAAATCCTGCACACACACACACACACACACACTCTCTCTCTCTTCTATTTCACGGGGCTCAATTTGCAATCGAGGAGGAGCCGAGAGTCCTCCGGGGTTTCTCCTGAACCTGCTCCTCAAATATAAAGCGCTCCCCCCATCCACCAGGAAAGACTGGATCATAACTGGCGACGAGGAGCCGCTGTCTGAGCGCATCTGTGGTTTCTCCTGAAACCCATACTGACGTCTGACTGTCTCCTGTTCCTGTAGTGTCCAAACACTTTTGTTTTTATTAGCCTATAGTAAAGTCTGAGCGAGAGCGCAACTTATTCAAGACAGAGTGACAAACGCGTCTTAAAGTTTGGAGCGCGCAGATGGCAGCCCTCATCAGCGCGTACTCGTCGTGGCCAGAGTCCTTCGAGAGTCCTCCGGGAGACGGGGACGTGCCAGACGGACACGGCCCGCACAGGACTCCCGTGGACAAGGCTCCGGAGCCGCGGATCAGACGGCCCATGAACGCGTTCATGGTCTGGGCCAAAGATGAACGCAAACGGTTGGCGGTTCAAAATCCGGACCTGCACAATGCGGAGCTCAGCAAAATGTTGGGTAAGATGAAAGTTAGTTTTTATTAGGATTATTATTATTATTATTATTATTATTATTAACAGCCTATTATTGCGACTTTTTACGCTTCTAATTCCCATCAGGCCTCGGCTGTTTTACATAAGTTTTTGGACTTATTCAAATGCTGATAGGAAGTAAAATCTAAAAAGCTTTTTAAAGGTTTAAATAATTTGTTTGTTTTTAAGTTTTTACCCGCAGATGGTCAAAAAATAGGCCAAGTAAATAAACGCATAATTTGACAGGCGTCTCGCCAAAATCCGATTCAATTTAAACTTTGTCTTTTATCCGTAAAATTCGTTAAGAGCGAAGTAATAGAAAGACAAAAATAGCTAGTTTTGTTTTGGTTTTCATCTACGTGAATTAAGCTCTAAATCTGGCACTCACACACGACAGCAACACAAAAAAACCATACACACAGTTTGTCAGTGGACATCTTTAAAGTGGACATTCGTGAAGTGCAAAATAAATCAAAACAAGATTTTTTTTTAAGGAAGATTTACTACATTTGTTTGTGACGTGTATTTTAAAGTACAGTTTCTGTTGTATAATTTTGGAAACGTCACAATCCACCCATTTTTCGTATTAACTTAAATTTTCCATTACAGAAATGTAGGCTGGCATAAAACAAAGCAAAACAAAAAATAAAAACATTTTAGAGATATTTTACAAGTTATAGAAACTGTCATTTTAATATTATTATAATAGGGTATAAGAGAAATTTTTAAAAAGGGTAAACTGCATTATTTTTTTGTTGACAGCTATTAAGGATTTTATCATACTTTATATTTTACATTTCTTCTGTCTCTTTTTCACTCAGGCAAATCATGGAAGGCCCTGACTCCCCCTCAGAAGAGGCCCTATGTAGAAGAAGCAGAGAGGCTTCGGGTGCAGCACATGCAGGACTACCCCAACTACAAGTATCGGCCTCGCCGGAAGAAACAGCTGAAACGCATCTGCAAACGAGTGGACCCTGGCTTCCTCCTGAGCGGGCTGGCCCCTGATCAGAACGCCCTACCCGACCAGCGAGTCCTGTGTCACACCCTTGACAAAGATGATGGCGGCCCTAATGGCATCAGTAGCGGGTTTTCCAGCCCCAGCCCTGCTCTGCCCAGCGTCAGAAGCTTCAGAGACCCTGTGGGTTCCAACAGCAGCTTCGACACCTACCCCTATGGCCTGCCCACTCCTCCGGAGATGTCCCCACTAGATGCCATGGACCATGAGCATGGACCCCCCTCTTACTACTCAGTGTCTGGTAGCTCCTCTGTCTCCTGCTCTTCCTCAGCCTCCTGTGCAGATGAGCACCATCAGAATCAGACACACATGGGCAGCCCGCCTCCTTACCACACTGACTACACTCAGAACCAAATCCACTGTGGGGGCACACACATAGGTCACATCCCTCACATGTCCCAAAGTGGCGGCTGTGGTGGACTGATCCCTGGCCCGCCGCTGTCTTACTACAATGCGTCATCTTTCCCTCAGATTCATCACGGGCTCCATCAGGGCCACTTGGGCCAGCTGTCCCCACCACCAGAGACACAAGGCCACCTGGAGACTCTAGACCAGCTGAGCCAGGCTGAGCTTCTGGGCGAGGTGGACCGCAATGAGTTTGACCAGTACCTGAACTCCACTGGGACCGGGTTTCACCCTGAGCAGGGGAGCACCATGACCGTTACCGGACACATCCAGGTGGCATCAGCCACCACTGCTTGTCCCAGTAGCACTACAGAAACCAGTCTCATTTCCGTGCTGGCAGATGCAACAGCAGCCTACTACAACAACTACAGCATCTCATAAGCTTAGTTACAGCACCCGTTATACTTGTGACTGAGCAGAGACACGACGAGGTTTAAAATGGGTGAAGAAATCAGGGTTGAAGTTGCACTTGGGTGCAAATAAGGGAAAGAATTCTGTGCTCCTATCTGTAATTTCAAAACTCCTTATTAGCATCTACTGGCTACTTCACCCACTATGATTAAAACCTGAACTGACTGCTGAGCAATATGATTGTCTGGAGCCAAGGACAGAACCAAGGGCAACTGGAGAAATGTGAAAAAGGGAGATGGACATCTCAGGGACGCAGACACAGAATATTATAGTATTCCACCTCCAGTTGTCATGAAATTTCCAAACCAGAAGAACAATCGTAAAAGACTTGTTGTCCACTTGTAAATGTCACCATCTACTGTTGCCACCTCGGCGTGTACAGATGATAATTTAAGTCCTTCGATGTTTCGCATACATGCTGGCTGTAATGCTATTATCAACGCTTTCCATTTGAATGTTTGTACTATATGTTCTCGCTCTCAGTTTGGGAGTCTTACCTCAGTAGTTGTAATTGAATGAGGTTTTAGTTGGACATTTCCTATGCAATTTAACAAAAAAAAAAAAAAAGTGTATAACGAAGAAAAAAGCCGTTTATACTTCTTCTCAAGTACTTAATAATATATAATCATAACCTCTACGATGAAAAATAATAATGTAACTACAACTGTATGCTGATTTAGGTTTGTGAAGGATAATAATAACAAATAAAGGTCAATTTTTATATTAATGCAATTACTTGGATAAGGTGTCCACCGACAGCACACCACAAAACTTATTTCACTGCTACACCTAAACAGGCGATACTGCGAATAAGAGGTACATTTAAAAGATTGTGTGGTAGCAGATGAAGTACATTTCGACTCATCTACACAATGAATACAATCAGATTCCTAAATAAAACAATTAGAACAGATTTTTTTAACACTATAATTTTCCTTCAACAAAAACAAAACAAAACAAACAACAACATGGTGTGTGCTTTTTTGTCCATCTTTCAATTTGCTGCCACGCCATGTATTCTTCTATTTCAGGCTCTGTCTACTAGCTGTACTGCGAGTGGCCTTTTCTGACACCCACTCCCCTGCTCGCTTTTCCACCCTCCATCACATCATCCCTCTCCGTCCGTCTGCTCTCGCTTCCATTTCATCCCGGTTCAGAGGATTAGTGTACAGCAGGCACGGCCGTCACCACCCGCCTCCATCTCAACCGTCTTTTGTTTTCCTGGAGTCTTATTCTGGGTGCCATTCTTAGGCACTCAGGACCCCCCTTCCACCCCCAGCCCCTCACCCTGTGTGATATCTTGCTGATGCAGCCCTTTAGTAATCTGTGCAAAATAAATAAAAAAATAAGTCCCAGGGGCTCGTTGACTGTTTTATACCCTCCTCATTTTTCCCCGTCTCTCTCCTCTCTATTCCCCTTCTCACCCTCTCTGTTCTCTTGAATTTTTCTTTTTCGAAAAAAGGAATTCAGGGGGCTTTTGACAAATCCTGGAGTCTGGCTGGTCTTCCTGCATTTTTTGGGAACGGTTGAGTCGTGCTTCTTGTAAAGAGGATGTGGCGGAGGAGCAGTGTTTCCTGACTGATAAGGGAAAAGCCTCTCTCCGTCAGGATGTTTGGGCCTGGCTGGGCCCTGCATTAAAGAGCCAGAGTGAGGGAAGGGAACCTGCTGTTCAGCGAGCAGGAGGAAACATTGCCGTACTGATTAGCATCTTACTTAACCACCATTTTTCAGCAGAGGATTTGTCAACCTGGCCTTTTATACCTTGGCCACAGACAGACCACAAAAATCCACACAGTAATGAGCAAATACCACACTTACTGTGAAAATACGTATGCAAAAATGACCCATGCAATCACTCCTTTTCATACACATTCCAACACTTGCTGTGAATGATGATTAAACTGACTAGAATGACAACATCCATCACGTACCTGCATCTGGCCGATATTGTGCTCATTTCTTCAGGGTTAGATAATTACCCTTTGTGGCTGCAGGGGTTCAGATCTCTGTGGAGGGCCCATTTGAGTGCATCCATATTTTGGATGTGGGAGCCGGATGGCTACTTTCTCACATATGGCCTCTTCCCCAGGCATATGGGGTGAGAAAGTAGCCTTCGGCATGGCACCAGCCCCCACAATGTCAGGGTCAGCTCTGGGTGCTACTGCAGACTCCCTTGGTAAAGACGCCCTGCAATGTCTCAACACCACATCCAGCACCTCAGGGAAGGTCACTGCAACACGACAAGGACAAAGACCTAAGCGTCAACAAAGCATCATCACATTAGGCTGCACACAAAAACCTCAAGTCTGGCATGAGCCAAGGTTCTACACTTAAGAACAAAACAGCATGCTTATATTGAATATCCACATGCTTTGGTATTTTACTGAATTTCCAACCAACCAAGACAGAAACTCTTTATGACCACTATAAAGGTTTAGGCATGGAAAAGATATACAGTCCAAATAAAATGCAAGGAAATCTGTGCATCTCTAAAATGACATTTCATGAATTAAGAAAACTAGTCTTATTTTCCTCTTGGTAACAATGCATTTTTTAGATAATCCAGTTTTTTTTTTTTTACTATATTTAACACATGACATTGGATGAAGGAGAAACACTTCATCTTTCAGTTGATTTGAAAAATTCCAAACCACCAAAACGGGAGAGACATGCATTTCATTGGACAGTGAAAACAGTCAAAACTAAATACTTTTACCAATCACAGTGTCTCTACATCGACATAACACCATTTGGTACAGCATTAAAACTATTAAATACAGCAGTTCTCACTGACACGTTCACCTCCTCTGGATAATAACACTTTTCTTTAATTAGTACAAAATCCCCTCTCTGAGATGCCCACAAGCATTGCGGGAGTATTTACTGAGTTCTGTCGATTCTGTGACTTTAACATTCTAAGGAAGTGGAGGGCACAACACTCAACTTGTTAGCCTCAATCCTTTCCTCATCGTCAGCTTAACCTTTAGTCAGAGCCTTTCACAGAAAACCAAAGACAGCCATCACTGCTGTTTTGGCTGCAATAAATCAACAAGAAAGGAAAGAGGAAAATAATGAGTCAACAAACACTGACATGAACTGTGAACCGCATAAACTCTGCACGTTGTGCACGCTGCAACTTGCAGGAATTGTCTGTACAGCCCTTTCTTCAATGAGAAGGGTGTGTATAATCTACTCAGTTTTACTAAGTGAATCATTCACACACTTCTAGGATCGCAAGATTTAGAATATTAATGAATTTGAGGATATAGGCTGAACAAACAAAGAGCCTCCTCTTGTTAATGCTCTCTGATTGCTGCCTGGCTCAGTTCCAGTCTCAGGTCAAGCCTGTGGAATGAGTCTGTCAGGTAGTCTGTTATGTTTCCTATTTCCTCTCCTGTCGTCATGTCACTTCCCTGGGCAAACAAACAACTCGGCGGTCTAACTCAACACTATCAAGGTAATAACATAAGGCTTGGTGTGTGTGGACACGGCTCAGAGCTTGCACAGCTGTGTAAAGTATTATCCATGTGCTGAGACTGAGGCGAGCGGTGATCATTTTAAATATCATGTCCTCCGGAGGCATGGAGGAGGCCGACTGTCTGGTTGGTCCACCATCCATTGTGTAGCCAGTGAGGGAGCGGCCAATCACGTCACATTCGGAGGTTGACCATTTGTGCAATATGACGTTCTTCACGTATTAACTGTAGTTCAAGAGGAAGTGGCTGATTTGAGGTACGTGACCAAGGCATAGCCATTCCTGAGAGATGCTATTAAAACCTACTTACTACAGGTATGGTATAGTGCGCTTGAGTTAGCTGCATTATGAGCACACTACAGCTGCATATATCATAAATAATATATGCACCCGAATGGAGTCAAATTCCAAGTGATTCTGAATGAATAATTACATGTTTTCATGTTAAACTTTGCAAATAAAAAACAAAACCCATTACACCATCTTCATCACACTAAATGCAGTGAACTTTACACCAAATTAAACTACTCGGTGTGGCAGATAAAGACACTTACATCAGTAAATACTAAATGTTGTTGGAGTGCATTTCCAGTTGGAGTGTGTTACAGCAGCATAATAACCTGTTTACAATTTGTATTTGGCCCCGAATCTGGCCAAAGGAGGAAAAGAAGGGGAAAAAAAAATGCACATCTCACAGCAAGGGATTATGGGTGCAGATATTCTTCATCTCATTGTGGCTCAACAACAGGCAGAGTGTGGGGTGGCAGGCAGGCGTGTACGTCGCCGGACGAAGAATGGACCAGACTCGTCGAGGGACAGGTGCCATGTGGCAGAGGATATGCGGGGACACAGATGGGGACCCCTGGAAAACTTGGGGGACTGCACTAGCAGCCAAGGGCCTCCCACCCGTACCTGTGCTGTGAATGCTGCAGCTGAACGGGATCCGGCACCTGTTCTAAGCAGATACAGGTGACTAGCAAAAGCACAGAGGGGGGCCAGCACACGGCTGCCAATTCAGGGAAGGAGAAGGCTAGATTTCCATTTACCCACCATTACCAAACCAGCACAGGCGGGAAAGCTACTGCAGGATCGACAAAAAAGGATTATGAAATGTGTCTCCTTCCAGGTGTATGTGCATTTCACAAAACTCCTTATAAAAAAAGATTTTCTAGTTATGTATTAATTTTATCTGCAGTGAAAATAGGGCTTGAAAAAGTCTAATAAATACTTTTAAGGAAATGTATTATTTTTAAAACAAGTGATGTAAAATTACAGCGCATGTCCTGTTTTTCCAGCCTGGCCTGCAATGTTCCCTCTCTCATAGCATGGCTTGCACTGGTCTACAGTAGGTGTGCTGCGGCACTATCTGGTTTGTTTTTGGCTGCTGCAGATTCTCCCATGGGTGGTGTAACTCTTCACCTCAAAGTGGAGGAGGATGTTCCTATTGTGCTTCCTAATTGCAATGTGGTTGTTCCATTTAAGAGCTAAAACATCCTTATATGTTCCATGTGTGATCTTCTATTGTGGGACTAGCTAGAGGAGGCATTAAGTATTTTGAGCCATGTTTTATTTGAGCTGATTACAATATTTAAGGCAATGTTTTCATTTTCTAACTATGTTTAATCGAAGCTAGGTTATTAAAATGGAGACATGTAGTTACACTGGAAAGGATATGGCTTATTCTTGCAAAGTTTGGAAAGCTCTAGTGAAATGCTGCTGTTTTCTCTTTATACTTTCACAGTTCTGAAAAACATTAATACCATTCCCAGACATTATCACATTACTATTTAAAAAGGCAAAGGCTAGGCTATACTGTATGTCTTTGATTTCAAATCATGCCCCATTTTTTCCATTTTAATGGATCTACATGCTGTCATTATGACCCTGGCCTCAACAGAGTTTACTCAGTGCGCATCCTGAAAAGCAGACGCACTAATGATGTAGATGAGTGATGTTATAAGTTCAGCCATGTGAGAGAGTCCCTTTTAACAGCTACTGTGGAGGATAGACACAGCAAACCGCCAGGCAGCCCGATGACAGCTACTGAGACACACCAAGAACCATTAGCTTTTAAATATTCCAGCAAATATCATTCATAAAAATTAGGTGGTTACAGCGTAACAGTTATATCAGATCGCAAAGAAGATCAATCCCCATAAGAGCTGAAACATGGAACAGGACTTGCACTGCACAACACTGGCTGACCAAATCAATCTACGTCCTCTGGAAAAACGACTCCACATACTAGGTGCCTGAAAAAGGGTGTGAAGGTATGTCCCACGACAAATCTGTCTCCTTGTCCACTCCTCTTCACTGGGAGGATCACATAAGCAAACTAATAGTTGTGTATGGGTTTTCGGACTTAACGCTCTTTTTAGAAAATTTGCAGTATCAGCAATGTGTTTTATCTTGTTGTGATCTTAGTGCATGCAAATTAAAGTAGGAGACTGAAGTTCAAATTCAGAATTCCAAAAGGAGGACTCCACTGCCTTTGATGAATGTCAAGAGGAATTATTCAATGATGAACCTTCAAAGTTTTCTACTAGGCTCTTCTAGCACATTTAAAGGGGAACTACAAAGTTTTTTTTTTACACTGTAAACATGTTCTGCAGCTAATGCATCTGCTTGAATTTTTAAATAAAATATCTGCTGAATTCTCTGGCTACTTCCATAGCTGTGAGCAAAAAGGTAAGGGGTCTATCTTGTGCTGTGACCTCCATGATTCTGATAGCAGCTGCTGCCAAGTGTAAAAAGCAGAACACTGGCTGACTGTAGCCCAAGTTTGTGCCTCTCATTTATAACCGCTGGTAGCATTAGCAAAAACACCAAAACATTATTTATTCCTCTGCAGTGGCAGTAAACACCCCTGTGGGCCCATTAATAACTGTGATATATGTAAAGCTTAATCATAAATTTAGGGCTGACGAACAATAACGTTAACTACAACTAGAGTGACACTCCCCCACAGACACACACAATGGAGAAGATCTTGTAGTAGAACCACTATTCCCATGTTGTTTCATTTTTATTTATTTAACCTTTGTTTATCCAGAACAATCCCACTGAGGTTTACAACCTCTTTTTCCAGGGGGTCTTGGGAGGACAGCAGTGTAAAACTACAAGACAAAAATGCAAAAACAACACCACCACCACATAGTAATTCTCTGAAAAGGTCATAAAAGCGCTTCTAGTGAGTGTCAAAACTCCACCAGACCCCCTGTACCTGCCTCTTTCCAGTGGGGAAAAGGTATTCTGACAGCATCTTCTCATTAGTTCCGACTGCCAGCTATGCCTCTGTCCACACAATAAATCGAAGGTAAAGGAACACAGCAGACACTGACTGATCATAACAAACACTTTAAAACTGCATAAACTACTACAAATACACAAGCACAACATGAATTAACAGTGTAGAATGAATGAGGAGACTCCTGTATTCAATGTGTCCACACATACTCATGTACTGTGAAGTTGTAGAAGTTAGTTATATTTGCAGCCAAGACAGCTATTTTACTTCTCTCAAAACGTAGGAAGGTGTACCCTCACTTGTGGGCGGGGCATTTGCACATGCGATGCAAGGATTATGTGAAGGCAGTGAGAATAAAGGTAGAAAGGTAACGGTGTCTGGGTAGGTCAGTGATTTTACATTAAGAAATTTTACTGCAATTTTCAGAATTTAGTGAAGATGTGGACAGATATATGGAACCTTTCCTATTGTGTTTGTGTATGTGTG